CACCTTCTCCTGGGGCTGCCAGCACTGCCTGCCTTGCCCCAGTATGGGGACAGCTGGGGGAGAAGCCAGACAAGCCTTGGCTTTTGCCAGGGCTCATCCAGCTGCTCCCCCAGCTGCTCCCACCGGCACTGCCTAATGCCTGCCTATAAAGTGTACAGCCTAATCTCTCTGAATCAGTTTGGAAGCTTCCAATTCAATTCAGAGAGATTAATGGGTCTCCCAATTCAATTTGGAGATTCAGCCACCGGATCAGGCTGAATCTCCTCCGAATCGAATTGGCTACTGAAGCGTTGCGCAGCCCTAGCAGGCACCTAACATTTAGGTGTTAACTAAGTCCTTCTCTGTAGCTGGCCCTAAAGCCAAAAGCTGCTACAAAAAGTATATATAGAACCCTATAGTCCTTTAAATATTTTTGAGGCCCTTTTAAATCTTTGGAAATGTTGACCCATATTCCTGTGTGATGTCAAAATTATTCTTACTACTTATTTCTTGCACAAGTACATAATTGTGTATGTATTGTTGCAGATTCCCAAACTCCTCATTGCATGGATTAGCATCTTATAGTGCAAATTCAGACTAATTGTCGGGTATTATTTTGTGTGTGTAGTCACCATCATCATTCCCTAACTCGCCTTTATTTTACCTTATCATCAGCACAGTTGCAGAAGTTTCTCATTGTCCACAAATAAACCATATGCTTGGAAACCTTGTCTGCTTGGTAAAGTTTGAATGCATATTTTCTGTCAGATGCATTTTTTCATTCTGCCTCCATTTTTCTGAGCAGGGACCAGGTCATCCCCCACACTGGGAACCCCATAGGCCCCCAGGGAGGCACACCCAGGCTAGGCTCAAAGAGGACCTAGTCAGGGAACTTCTGGAGGGACTGGACATATTTAAATAAGCAGGTCCTGATGATCTCCACCCCAGAGTGCTCAGGGAATTAGCAGAAGTCATTGTGAGACCCCTGGCTTGACTTTACGAGCACTCATGGTGCTCTGGCATTGTGCCAGGGGACTGGAAAAGGGCCAATGTGGTTCCCATTTT